CCTGTTTTTGGAGACTGCTTACCAGAATTCGCAACGGTAGGGTCGAATTAGCTATTTTGCAGGCAACCTGCCCAACCATAATGCTAGCAGTACTATGATCAGTTATTTAGTCATGTCAAGCAAGAGATGGATATATAAACCTCTCTTATCACCATTTCCTACCCTTGCAAATCATGTCCCTAACCGTTTCGGGGCATTTACTTCCGGAAATGCTAATTGACAAAGCGAGACCAAGCGTTGTGTTAGTTAGACAACGAACAATTAAACCAGACCGAAAGGACGAATACATCAGCCCCAAGAAGGTACTGATAACGTCCTTCCCACCATCTGAGTAAGACCATATAAAGTCTTCTTATTAACGGGATTAAATTTATTATTTTCTTTAATGGAACGTGTAAAGCGTGTATTTCGGTAACCCCAAGTGCGAGTCCATGTTTTCTCTCAGGTGTACATGAATTACTAAGTACATCAATAATCAATGCGAAAAACACATACTATTTAAGTACTCATGTTTAAACTGAGCTTTTTTACAGATGGCCGTAACTAAGCGCCTTCAAACACCGGCATCCAAGCCTGCATAAAATGCCTTGAGATAATGTTACAAGGCAATCAATATTACAACTCCTCTTACGTAATCCTTTTTAATCTAAGACACTAATCCGAATTTCTGTAAACATTTTACGAGATCGGCAAGTTACTGTACCCACTATATGCGCGGACATGTGATTCGTTAATGAGCCGCGGATGACTGCTGTTCGATTTAGTGGAGAATCCTTTGTTGTGAAACTAGCTAAGTTCAAGCTAACTAAGACAACCATACCCAACAAATGAATTGTATTGGCAGTCTTTTTATCTGCCTAGGCTCACAAATTCGAGGATACCTCTCGGGTAAGAGTGCAAACTGTACTACTAATACACTTTTATCCATAAGCAGTATAGACTTCCCCGACGAGCGGCGCGATTGGTGTTAGGAACTGACTAGTTTGTACCGGCAAACAGCCATTCCATTCTACTGCAGGCATACTATAAGGTGAGGAGGTGGGGGGACGAGGCACTCATGTCTACTCAAAGTCATTATTCTCAACTTTTTCCCTCTCGGTAAATTTCAGAAAACATACGACTCCTTGTGTCATTTATGAACCTTCAGGTTGTTATCATTAAGGCGACCCATCGCTGGATGTCTTCCCTCTCCCGGCTCATTTAGAAGAAGCAAGTTATGCAGCACCAAACCTTAGTGACTGGGCCGTCTCCTGTGGATCGGCGAAACGCCCCGTCTGAATTGCCTCGCTCTCCTTGCTCTCTTTGCTCTTCTCAGTCGAAAAGAGGACACAGTGGAGGTAACCTCCACGAACAGCCAAAGCGCTGGACACGTAGGCCGCCAAAGGGCTGTCCTCCTGGTCAGCGACTCCGGTGGCAAAGAGGTAGAACCCCACAGGCTGCTGGTGCTGTTGTTGCTGGTCTTTCATCCGTTCAAACACATACCTAAAGATAAAAGCAAAGTTTGATTAAGTAACACTACTTACTTACAATATAACTAGTAGTCTGTTTATAGCAAGTAACAATATCATCAGAACTTAGTACTTAAAGCCGGCAAGAAAATTCCGTGTTCCTCCAGCATGGCGGGCGAGCAGCCAGACCCAGGCTTCCTGAAGGTTGTCTGGGTTGACGGGCACGCATTCCGTGTGGAATACTTCCATGGTCTCGCATATGGCAATGAGGTTGAACCATTCAACGTAAACTGCAATCTGCTCCTGCAGCAAGTGTCGCAGATATCGAAACATCTTTTCAAGACATGGCCGACTGAATTCGGAGAAGTCAAGCAGGAGGACAACGCATTTCTCCGCCAGAGTTCCAAAGGTAGCCCGACTATTTCGACCTAACCAGTTGATGCGCTGTTCAAACAGCGTCATCTATCAGGAAGGAAAAAGTACGTGTTTAAGTATCCTATCGGCAGTTCATAAAAACATTGGAATCAGGGAAGAAAAATATACTCATGGAAGAAAATTATACGCAAGGAAAAGAAATTGATAGTGTTTATAAACAACGACTAGGTCGCACGGCATTTACCTTCGTTGATGAAATTATATTGCAAAGGGATTTTGGCAGGAGCTTCCTTGGTAGTGGTCTTGGATACAACAAGCCGTAGGTTGTTTTCATACAGTAACCGTGAGAAGGGGTTTTTTAAGTTGATAAAACTGATAAACCAAATAAGTATTTTGTGAAAATAAGCAAAGAAGTCGTAAAATTTTGTTGAAATAATTTGATACGGTCGCTATAGGCCGACGGCGTTGTACGCGGAGATCGAAAAAAGGCTCAAAAAACAAATCGAGCACGAATCGCTGTCGACAAACTTGGAAATGTGGAGT